CTCTGTCCCTCACATGGAAGACAGTTCTCCACAAACTTCTCCAATGTGAGTCGATCCCACAGGCTGCAGTTCCTCACAAACTGCTCCATTGTGGGTCACAGAACCACAGAATCACACACGTTACATAGATTGCATCCAGGTGGGTTTTGAATAACTCCACAGCAGACTCCACAGCCCCACTGGGAAGTGTGTTTCTGTGCTTTGTCACCTTCAAAGTTAAGAAGTTATTCCTCATGGTTAGATGGAACTTCCTGCCCATTGCCCCTTGTCCTGTCACTTGACACTAGTGAAAAGTGCCTGGCTTCATCCTCCTCATTGCTGTCTGCTGGACTCCAGTAGTTCCCTGTCTTTCTTGAACTGGGGAGCCCAAAACTGAACACAGTATTCCAGATGTGGCCTCACCAGGGCAGAATAGAGGGAGAGGATGACCTCCCTCAACCTACTGGCCACACTTTTGTTAATGCACTGGCCTTCTTGACCACAAGGACACTTGCTGGCTCATGGTTAATTACTGTCTGCCAGGACTCCATGATCCTTCTCTTCAGGGCTGCTTTCCAACAGGTCTACCCCTGACCTATACTGGTACATGAGATCGTTCCCCGCCAGGTCCAGACCCCTACATTTGCTCTTGTTGAGCTTCATTAGATTCCTCTCTGCCCAGCGCTCCAGCCTGCCCAGGTGATTCTGGATGGCAGCACAGCCTTCTGATGTGTCAGTCACTCCTCCCAGTTTTGTATTATCAGCAAACTAACTGAGGATACAGTCTGTCCCCTCGTACAAGACCTTGACAAATACGTTCAACAAGACCAGAACCATGATCTTTTAAAGGTGATGGAGAGTGGCCTAGCAGCTCACTCATTACTCCTGGGTGCATCCCATCAGGGCCCATGGATTTGTGGATATTCAGTTTGGCAAAGTGGTCTCCAGTCTGATCTTCCCCTACTGAGGGAAAGTCTTCCTCTTTCTAGATCTTTTTTCCTACCTCCAGGGTCTGGGATTCATGAGGGCCAGCTTGAGCTGTGAAGACTGAAGCAAAGAAGGCATTCAGTAACCTCACATTCTCTGTGTCTTCTGCCACTAGGGCACCCACCTCATGCATCAGTGGATTCATATTTTCCCTAGTCTTCCTTTTTCTATTGATATACTGAAAAAACACCGTTCTTGTTGTCTTTGATATCCCTTGCCAGATTTAATTCCAGATGGGCCTTAGCTTTCCTCGTTGCATCCCTGCATTCTCTGATAACATTCCTATATTCCCTCCAAGTGGCCAAGTCTTCTTTTCCACATTCTGTAAATTTCCTTCTTCCATTTGATTTTTTCTCGAAGACCCTTACTCATCCATGGAGGTCTTTTGCCTCCTCTGCTTGGTTTCTTACTCATAGGGACGCACTGATCTTAAATCTGGAGGAAGGAGTATTTAAATATTGACCAGCTCTCAAGTACACCCCTACCTTCTAGACGCCTAACCCCGGTATTCCACCAAGTATATCTTTGAAGAGGATAAACTTAGCTCTTCTGAAGTCCAGTGTTGTAATCCTACCTAATTCTTTACTTCTTCCATGTAGGATACTGAACATCTCATGGTCACTACAGCCAACCTTGACATCCCCAACAAGTCCTTCTTTGTCTGTTAGTACAGGTTGCAGCAGTATACCTCCCCTCATAGGTTCCCCCACCACCCATATTAGAAAGTTATCCTCAATGCTCTGCAGGAATCTCTTGGACTGTGTGTGTCTAGTTGGGCTGCCTTTCCAGCAAATACCAGAGTGGTTAAGGTGCCCCATGAGAACCAGGGCCTGTGATTGTGAGGCTACTTTCGTCTTATCCCCCATAGAGTTTCAAGTCCTATTAGCAAATGTGGACTTCCAATGAGGACTTCTCTCTCCACAAGTCCACAGGTCTTGCTAGGACCCTGCTCCAGCCTGGGCTTGCCATGGGGTCACAGCCTCCTTTGGGCATCTGCCTGCTCTGGCATTGGGTCCCCTGGGACATCTGCTCCAGCATGGACCTCCATGGGCCGCAGGGGGACAACCTGCTTCACTCTGGTTTTCACCACAGGCTGCAAGGCAATCTCTGCTCTGACACCTGGAGCACCTCTTCCCCTCCTTCACTGACCTTTGTGTCTGATGAGTTGTTTCTCTCATATTCTCACTCTTCTGTCTGGCTGTAGGTTATTGCACAGTTTTCTTTTTCTCCTTCTTAAATACTTCATCCCAGAGGCCACTGTCACGGATGGGCTCAGCCTTGGCCAGCAGTGGGTCCATCTCAGAGCTGGCTGGCATTGGCTTTACTGGACATGAGGGAAGCTTCTAGCAACTTCTCACAGCCACCCTCCTGCTACTAAAACATTGCCATGCAAACTCAATACAAGTGTGTAAAGTAAACATAGTACTTTCTGTTTTACAATTAAAAGTTTTCCTATAAAGTGCTGTTGAACTCTGATGCCTGCATTATAGCACTTTAATGCATATATGAAATCAGTTTGATTTTTAGATTTGATGGACGCTCACAACGTTCACTGTAGTCAGCCATCCTGAGTGATATAAAACCTTTTACTATTATTTTTATAGGGGTAGGTTCCTACCTTCAAATACAAAAACGTTAAAATATTTGGTATGAATACGAATTTAAATGTTTTCAGACTTGTGGCAAGTGTGGTAATGGTGAAGGTACAACAAGTTATTTTCTTTTGAATCTGAAAATGTAAAAATTAACTGTTAAAAAGTCAGAAGTAAAAAACTTATTGAGATCACAAATTCCTGTCTTACCATCTTAAAAATTTTAGGGTTTTTTGCTTTACTTTGGAAGGAATAGAGCCTTAGCACTGTCATCTGCTTTTGACATGAATTCGGGCATATGACTACCTGAAAATTCACATGAAATTTGGGATCATATTCTCTCCACTGTGTCCCTAGCCCTGAAAGATTAAGGATCATTTATTTGTTCTCTGGGCAGGTGGACGGGAAGCAGCAATAATAACAACTGAATTTTTCAAAACCATCAATGTCCCCCTGGAACAGCAATAAGAGCGAGGAGTGGAATATCACAGCAAAGGCCGAAGGACCCATACACCTCATGGACAGTGCTGGTTTTTGGAATGCAAGCAAACCTGGCGAAAGCAATTTTATGTTATTTCTGCACGTCATTCTATTTCTTATTAGGCTTAGGAAGCATCTAGCAACTTATTCCCAAAATGCATCTCTGTTTTCTTTCAAATGGAATTCTGTAATTGCAGTCTCCATCTGGGCATATGAACAACCATAATTTGCCAATTGCCGCCACATGCGGTGCTAGGCAGAGCACCAAGCAGAGTGGTGGGGCAGGATGCCCGCAATGAGCACACCAGAGCAGAGCAGTCACCAGGCCTCAGACCCCAGTGCCTCCTTCCACGTCAGGGAGCTCAGGTCAGAGCATGTTTGATAGTGCTTCTGTGAAGGACAGGAGGCTGAAGCCAGGAGGTCATGCAGATAAGATCTCAAACAAGGGAACAGGATATTTCTTACATGTCTTCCAGACAAGGGATTGTTCTGAACTCCAAATGCAGTAACCGTAAGGCCCAGTCCTTTCTAATTCAGCAGCCTCAGGGGAGCTGTAGCAAGGAAAAGAGAGCCCCATCTGCGTTGATTATTCGTGGGCTGACAGATAGGTCCTGTGTCTGGATCCTTGGCTGGGGCTGGTGGATTATTCCAGTCCCTGCAGCCAAAGGCAGCCCGTTTGGCATTTTTTCTGGTAATGTTTCCAACAGCCTCTTTTATCCACAAGCACCAAGCTGCTGAGGACTGGAGCAGCCTGGTCTTAACCAGGCACTAGCCAGCCTGTTTCCGTCTGTGTCCTGTTGGTGACAAGGATGATGGGTGGCTCCAGACCACCCAATTCTGGCCCAGCCTTGGCTGCTGCTGCATCTTCCCCAGGACAGTCAGACACTGCCTGGCTCGGTTCCCTGCGACTGCTGGGAGAGTGGAGTGCAGAAGGGCTGCTTCTTCTCCCAGCACACAGCCATCAGCCATAGCAGCTACAGCCTTAGTGCAGAAGATGAAGGAGAGAAATGCAGCCTTGCTTACCACTGTTAAAATGAGCACTGCCACGATTCTGGTAACTCCTTGGAGGCCATATGTTACATCTGCAAGTAATTCTGCATTGCTTTTTCTGTGGGGATCAGCTGCAGATACTTGTGCTTGAATACCTGAGCAGTTTAAAATGTAATTGGAAATTGATGCATAGGATACATGTATAGTTAACACAAATAGATTTTAAAACTGTTAGAAGTGGCCTGATTGAAGAGTATAGATCTTAAATGCTTTAAAATAAAAATATTGTGTCAAATGTCAATTACCAAGATATGAATTGTGCGATTACTCTGCCCAAAGGCCAGTCATAGAGCTCAGTAGTCACCTTAGTCTGTCCTTATCACCTATGGAGAGAAATACATGATTTTAGGTCTCCATTCATCTCCTAACATACACAACTATAATACGCACATGCTCAGAAGCTGATTGTTTGTATTGATTGCGTGTTACAGACATCACAAGCTAGCCCAAGGTAAAGCCTGTATGCGGTGGTCTAAAAAATCTATTTGTGTCTGCTGCTTTGCTCTTTAAATGTGCCATTTATTTGCATAATAAGTATGTCATTAATGGGCCATACTGGTGAAGACAATGTCTTTTAGACTGACAACCACAGTTAGTTCATTAGAGTTGCCCAGGCTGTAAAGGTCTCATTCTTAACAAAGTAAGTAGCCTGAAGAAGTAATCTAAGATTGTCAAGGGTTAGGGCTAGGCCAGCCTCTCTCCCCTCCTGAAGGGGAAGGGAAAAGGGAATAAAGCAGAGGCCTAGGGATTGGAAAAGAAAACTAAAACAGCTTCAGTGGAACAATAACAGTACTAATAAAAAACCCAACATGGATCCAAAGTTGTTTTCAACCATACCTAAGCAATGCAGAGGTATGCCTGAGAGTGGAATTTGCTCTATTGAACTTCATATGTAGTACTCATGCATTGAAATGGACAGTAGGCATTCAGTTACCTAAAGCCTGGTGAGTGAGAAGCATGGAGCTAGCTGAGAGGCCAAGTGTAATACATTTCCTTGCTTTTCTTTTTGGGATCATTTTGCATTTCACATCCCTGCAGTTCTCTGAAAACCAAAGCTGCAGATCACCCTTAAAGCATGGAAGATGCTGTCTGTAAAGGCTAAAAGCAATTGTTCTTTTTAAATGAAAGAAGTATAAAAAAATATGAAGCCAAATCTTGTGGCATCGAGTTAGGCAAAACTCACACTGGGATTTGAGGACACTAGGTTTCTCTCTTTTTTTTTTTTTTAATTTTATGGACTGTGCTATACATCACTGCAGTTTTGTATTTTCTTCCTTTGTAACAAAAGGATAAAGTCCTGTTTGTTATTGTATAACACTCGGAGAACTCTGGTTGTGAAGTGCTATTACGAAGTATTACTAAAAATTTTCTCTTCTCTTTTCCAGAAAGATCAGTTCTTGCCCAGCCAACATTTGTTTTTGCAAAGAAGAACCATTCTTTGAAGGTAAAAATCTTTTTCTTTTTAGTATATATATTTTATAAAAAATGCTGAGAAATGAGGATTCTATAGACAGTGATTCTAGCCATAATAAAAGATTTTAACCCATGTTAAGACTTACAATAAATGGCTTCAGAGTAGAACAAGAAAGAGTAAAAGCTAGAACCAAGACTGCTTTTAAATGCATATATGATGAATTGATACACTTTTTGTCCTGGTCTAGAAAATGGCTGTTCTATTCTCCTTGACCATTCTGTGTGTATATTTTTTTTCCAGCGGCCTGCAGAAGACCCAGTTTGCAAAGCTGAAAATGGTAATAACCACTTCATTAAACCAGTATAATAATACATTGGGTTATTCATAGGTCTGACTATTGCCTGGGAAAATAATGTTTGGACCCTTACTTTGTATGAGCAGGGACAAGTCTTTGTTAGTAGACTAAGACTATGTGGGTTGTAGAGCCACCTACTACGTCCTAATGTATATGTCTCTGTCTTAATCGTGAGAATTCTTCCATCTTACTTGTCATATTTACCAGAAAGCTGAACTCAGAAGCCCTGAAAAGTGGCCAAGTTTATTCATCAGCTGCATGACCTCCTAGCTGCCCTTTTCTAATTGTTTAAACAGCATTATAATGTAACTTCTCATTCTTAAGCCTGTGTCTTTTAAGCCTGTGGGCTGTGAACTGGTTTTAAGTACTTGAACCTCGTAGAAATAAGGACTCGCTAGGGCTTTGTGCCAGGTGTTGTCTGTGTCTCCAAAGCCCTTTTCCTCTTAGGTACTGCCTTAAAGCTGTTCCTGAAAGTAATTTCTGTAATCTATTGTCTTCAAGTTTTAATTCCATATTATAACATTGTGCTGAAATCTGCCAGTCTGTCCCTGCAGAACATAATGTTTACTTTTCTGTAGATATTATTGGTTGCTCCGGAAAACGTGCAAGATCATCATCTTTTACTTTCCAGAAGTCTAACTCTCAGTGTAACACAGGTATGACATTTAGCTCCAGCCATGTTTTAATTAGTATAGTTCTGTATTCTCATCTGGTAAAGAGGAGAAGGAATTTTCTTGTCTAAGAAATGTTTCTGGACTATAGGAAAGCTGCACTTCGTGAAAACTTAAATATTAATATAAACATGCTGGTAATTTCCAGTAAATCTCCTTTTAAGTAAAAATATTTTAAATTTCTATACTTAACTAATATTACATGAAGTAGTGAAAAACCTGAGCATTTCATGTAATTTCCTTGAACTGCTAACACAGTCAAGGGAGGAAGAGGGCTGGAAATTAGATTCCTTGGTTTGTGGAAGAGATAGGTGTTCCCTGGGCAATCCCTGAGAAGGGCCATATGTCTTAGGTCTAGCCAACAGCTGACATGGAAGGTGCTTTAAGGAAGTGCATGTAAATCACTGAGACTACTGTGCAGGAGGGCTGTTCTGTTTTTTGCAGTGTTTATTTAGCATAGGGATGAGACCAGAAAGTTACTTCTGAATTTAGACATTAATATGTGTACGCTATATAGCCTTGTGATGGACCTGAGTGTAGCTAAGAGTATTTAAGATAATTGAAAATTATTGGGAGACCATACACAGAAAATCATAGATATAGTAGAAATTTTAGGGTATGCCTATACCAAAAAATAAGACAAGATGCAGGAGGATGCTTCAGTTATTGACCTCTTGATTGCCCACATTGCTTAACTGATAGCTCACTCCCTGGTTCTGTTTTGAACCTATCCAACTGGCAGTCTCCGAGGCAGAACTGTTAGAGTGGACTAGCTGTAAGCAGTGTGCCTGAGCCAGGTGGTGCCACTTGCCCTCCGAGACCTCTCCAATTCAGCAATATAGGCAAAACCTAATAGTCTACTTGAAAAAGCTGATAATTAGCAGATAATAGTTTATTTTACTCCCAGTGAAGATATGGTATCAAATTGGCTAACTTTAACATTAATAGTATTTTTTTTCCTCCAAACAAGTTATAATTTCAGTCTCTTATCTTTTCAGATACAACTCTCACTCAGAAAAGACAAAGATCATCTTCCTTTACCATCCTTCCTACCTTCCCTCCCTCACAGCCAGGTAATAAAAATACAAAACTCAACAAAATAAAAAAATATTTATGTACAAAAGCAGGTATTAGCTAAAATAGAGAGGTGTGCAGAAATGCTTTTTCTGCCAGACAGAGATGGACTGCATTGGACTACGCTGGTATTTTGGTCAGGGGAAAGGAATGTTTTAGGAGGAGATTCAAAAAATAGAACAAATGCTTTTTGCATTTGATATGAGGGAATCTCACAGTGCTCGAGAGGAATCTTTGAATGATTTGCAAATAGGCATTTACACACTGTGATACATGTTATGCTTGAAAAAAACCAGAATGGAGTTAAGTAATTACATCAATTAGTTTGCTTGCAATTTAATGGTGATGGTTCCTGTAGGAATATAATTTTCTGTCATAGGTGACTGTCTTCCACCTACCAGTCACCCTGGGGACATTCTTCCAGTTACCACTAACTGGAACGATGGAGTGGTCTTGAATCTTAGTCTATGGCACAAAGCAATCTTAAGAGGACACAATATTGTTACAGCAACAAACCACGCTCTTTCTGCAGTAAAAAGTAGTGTTTGTGTGTGGACTATCAGTTGTGTCATTTTACAGGATGGTCCATGGTCCATTTTACATGTGGTCCATGGTTGCCATCACCTTCTGGTTGGTGTTTGGTATCCTTAGTAAAGCAGTAAAAGCATCAGCAGAGCACTGCCATCATTACATTAAGTTATGAAAGCCTTTACACCAGAACAGGGCAGGGCAGGGTACATTTACTTCTTCCCATGTTCTTGGGCCTCATTTACTCACCTTAAAAATGCCTAAGACTAGACCAGATAGCATTGCCATTTCAATAGCTTTTTCAAATGAGCAGCACCTGGTTTTCAAAGCTGAAGAAGGATTTTATGAGATTAAAACTTCAATTAATATCCAAAAGACTTCTATTAATGGTATAGCCAGAAAACCCCATGGCGATTTCTGTGCCTCAGTCTACCCACCTGTAAAACTGAGACTGTAAGAGTTATCTTGGAGATCTTGTTTCGATAAATAGGTTGAAATATTGCTCAGGTACTACCAAAATAGGGAGGGCTTTACAGAAACATTAATTAATTATTAGAGTTTGTTATTACTAATTATTAAAGTTTACATTCCTTGTTCTGTAGTAAAGAATAACATATTTATGACCTCAGCTCTTCTTCGAAGAAACCCTGGCTTGATCAAAAGTACAAAAGAAGGTAATTGTCATTGCAGTATTTGTTCTCTGTAGTTCCACAAAGACGTTCTTAACAGATATAGAGGACATAAAAATGACAACTTTTCTCTATGTCGAGTGACAGATTAAGTATCTTTGGGAGGTTGTTAATAAATTATTTGTTTAACAGTGTAAATATCTTTGAAGCTCTGTTCTGAGTTACTGCTCTGACTGCTTAACTCTTGAGAGGACTGAATATAACCTTGAATAGTGAAATTCTACATTTCTAATTAAGTAACTATGCTCCTGAACAAGGCAATGACGAACCCTCTTGGGGTCTGCAGGTGCAGGATTAAATTTGAAATGCCAGAAGACAAATCTAACACAAAGTAGTAACTATAAGTATAAATACAAAGATATATTTAAATATATGACTGAAAATATATTGTATATTTATGTGTATAACACATAACTTTTTTTCTGATAATGGGTTGGTGTCATTGCAGAATTGTGATTTTTAAAAGGGATTAGAATTTTTCAGAATAGGTAGCAAGTAAACAGTAACAAATGTTATTTAGATATGCTTTGAAGCTTTCAGTTAAAGAGGCAAGACATATAGATATGAATTATGTGTGAAGAAAATTATATATATAATTTATATTAAAATTATGTAAATTATATATATGTGAAGAGAATGACATGTATTGAAATGTTTTGTCTTTGTACTTCGCAAGGATCCTTGTCACGAAGTCAGTTGCGGAATGTCATTAGACCTCCCATTTTGCAACCCCCACAAGCCCTGACCTGTCCTGAAAATCCTCTGTTATCTCTAGTGACTAAGAAAGAAGCACATGTTCAGGTAAAAAGAAAAAAAAATACTGGTTAATATATATTTGGAGCTCAAATTAAACAAACAGACAAACTGCTGCTTTAAAGCATTTAATTATTCCACTGCATGACTTTCAAGAAGGTTCCCGTATCAATTTGAATGGAATCATTGTGTCACCGACATAGTGTGAACTGTTAAACTCATTAACTGTGTTTGAAAAAACATCTCTTCTTTGCACGCTGTCTGATATCAGATATCAGGGTTCTATGGGGGCTTTGGGGGTCTTCTGGATTTTGTTTATTTAGAAAGTAAAATTTTAGCATTTTGATTAAGGGCATTACTGACACAGCTGGAGGAAGCTCTTCCAACTACTGCATATATATTTCAGACTCTGGACTTCTAGCAGTTCTGTTCATATTAGAAAGTAAGTTTGGTCTAATTAATTCATCTGTTTTTATTATTCCTAGCTATCTGAAGACAGCTTTTATTCCTCAGCTGAGGATTCAGTAAATTCCAAAACAGCAGTGAAGTTATCTACTGTCATGAATCTTTCTAGCTCTAAAACAACACAGTAAGTTTTTATTTATTGTATTTCTAGACCATTTTGTCAGTTGGCCTATGGCATGCCCTTTGTCCTACCTGTCTAACATGGCACTAAGCCCGTGTTATCTACACCCACACATTGCTCGTGTGGGTGTTTGTATGTGATGCCAGGATTTGTCGGTGCCAATGCGAGCTCTGTGCATCATAAGAAATGGACTCCTGCTGGGAATTAATCTCTGTGGGACATTTTTTTTCTCATTAGCAACCACCAAGCCAGAAAGTATTTTGGTTTATCATCTCATGCAGCTTTGGCAGTTCAAAATATGTCCCTGATTTGAATGTTTACAGTCATCTTTGTGTCCCTTTGGAGAGCTGTCTTCTGATTGCGTAACTGCTGCATCTCATCAAGAGATGCAGAGAAACTGAGGAATTACTAAAATATGTCAGCACATTGGACACAGGAGACATGAAGTAAACCATAGAGGACTGATCTGGAAGACAAGGTGAATGCTGCAACTGATGCTCTACTTCGTGCACAAGCCAGAATTTCTGGCATGAACAGCTAGATCTGATGACTGTGATAGGGCGGCATCTTTGCACAGACATGGGATGAGCAGCACAGACTTCAGAATTTCTATGTGAGGAAGCTGACTTCTCTGAACTAGGACATTACCCCAAGCCCTCGTCTTTGTGTATGACTGCAAGAGCTCATACTGGTGCAGAAGGGGCTATTGTGTCTCTCTAGGTACTGGCTCAAGAGCATACTAGGTCTGTATTTAACCAGCTTAGTGTCGTCAGGTTATTCTATGGGTTATCAATACTGCTTGGTGATGGTTTGTACAGGGTGGTTACTTTGAATTCGTGGACATCAGGAATATACCTGAGATGAGTTATGATGACAAAGTGACATTTCTGAATTGCTCAGGCCACAGATAGTACAGTTGTGATTGGCTCCTTTCCCTCTCCCACCCAAAGAGGGCAGAGAACAGTTAATACAAAGGAGTTTGTTCCAGTCTGCTTCAGGGCCAGATGGGCCACAGATAAAGGTGTCTGCACACATCTGGGATGTGCAGTGCTGGGGTTCTGAGGAGGTAAGGGATTTTTGGATGCACAGACAACTAAGATTCTTAATCCTTATCATCAAGAAGAGCATCGTTAGAGGACAGATGCTGTGATTTTGGAAGAGCCACCCTGTCCCTGTGAGGACAACATGGAGCCACGTAGCATGCTGGATTTTTAGCAGTCAGAATGACACAAGTGCACATATTAGAAAAGCTCAAAGGAACATAGTACTGACTTCAAAATCAGTTTGTATCAATATTCCAAGTCTTTTTACCTTCTGTCACCTGCATAATATCTAGGAAATGATAGGTGAGTGGCTTTCTGATACGAAGTGATGGACAGAAATGCAGTGCAGTGTTTCAGTGCTGATGAGTTGTAAGTCTTGGAAATGCTTATGGTATTTCTTTTTATTTCTTTCTCTTTTAAAAGAGGAATTGCTAATCTGCTTGGGGTATTTGTGCCTCAGATAACACATACAGATAATTCTGCATATCACAATTGCGGTAAATGTTTGTTTATTTGACAAGTTGAAAACTAATTTAAATGCAACTAGGTGCTTATTGCTCTTCTGAGATTGCAGAGTGGTGTAAGTGCTATTCTTTTGGCCTGTATTAAGTGACTGATGCTGATGCTCTAAAATACTTTAGTAAAATCTTTTTTGGCATAGCCATTTTCTTATAACTTGACAGCAAGTGTTCAAACAAGCAACTTTGTTAAACTCCATACACATGCTAAACAGTAGTGAACATTGCAGCCAGACCTGCTCCTTGCTGAGAGAAGATTTAAGATTAGTTTTTAATTATCAGTCAAGGTGTAACTATTGACACTTATTGACAAAAAATATTCTCAAAAAATATTCTCAACACAGATATTCTCAATGGCAGGGATTGCTGCTACCTGTAGACATTTATTTTACTTTCTCTCCTCTTCCACCTCTTCTTCTCTGTGTGATACTAATCTGTCAGAGAGATGAATGAAAATATTTTTCTAGCCCTCTGCAGTTGCTGCAGCTGCCCATATCCCAGGAGACCACTAATGGTTCCATTTCCCAAACTGGCTGTGGCGGTGGACTGAAAAGGAGAAATTTGCATCTTCTTGAGTCATGATTAAAAGCTTGGAAAGGAGATTTTGTCATAAGTGACAGAGATATAATGCTGGGAGAACACAAGCTTCTGGTCATGCATTCAGCTTTGCAGAAGGATTTTCTTGGAAAACTGCAGGGGTTCAAGACCAGCACTGGAACTGGCAGCTACCCAGGCCCTTCTGGGCACTGACAAGGACAGTATCTGGGTCTAGTCTTTTTCCGTAGTCCCTTTCCAGTATCTTAGCCACATTTCTTCTTCTCCTGTCCTTCCTTGTTATTAGTCATTTCCTTAATTCAGTTCCTCTGTTTTGCATCTCCGTGGCAATGTCATCTCTGGCACACTTTGTTCTTACTCTAATATAAGGGTATTTTAATAAGGCTTGATTGCTGGCATTTACAAGTTAACTGTCTGGAAAAAGAAAGATACTACACTGATTACTTTTCCCTTACATTTCTGAAAATAATAAAGTCCGTTTCCCACAGATTTCCTTGAGACAAGGCTCCAGTTTCTGGTTTTTATCTCTTCTAGAGTGCCATCCTCACTAAGTTGCTAGTGGAGCTGCTTAGAAGGAGCAGATGAAATTTCAGAATGGAAATTGATCAAAATTCAGTGAATTTTAGTGGGGAGTTTTCTTAAGGATAAGAAACTCATTACTTTAAACACACTTCAGATTGCCTGTTTAGGGCCCAAAACACATATAAAAGGCATCAGGGCTGAAAAGAAACGGATTTTCTGATTTCTCTTTCTTAGTTGCTCTTAATTTTTGTATATTGGGTTTGCACGGTAAGGTTTTGGCAGCAGCAGGGCTGTAGGGGTGGCTACTGTGTGAAGCTGCTCGAAGCTTCCCCCTTGTCCAATACAGCCAATGCCATCTGGATCCAAAGATGAATCCAATGAATCCACTGCTGGCCAAGGCCGAGCCCATCAGCAACAGCGGTAGCACCTCTGGGATAACGTGTTTAAGAAGGGGAAAACTGTGCAACAACCTGCAGCTGGAGAGAGGAGTGAGAATATGTGAGAGAAACAGCTCTGCAGACACCAAGGTCAGTGAAAGAGGAGGAAGAGGTGCTCCAGGTGCAGATTGCTCTACAGCCTGTGGTAAAGGTCATGGTGAACAGGCTGTTCCCCTGCAGCCCATGGAGGTTAACAGTGGAGCAGATGTCCACCTGCAGCCCACAGAGGACCCAGCATCAGAGGCGGTGGATGCCTGAAAGAGGCTGTAACCCCATGGCAAGCCCAGGCTGGAGCAGGGTCCTGGCAGGGCTTGTGACACTGGGGGACACTCACACTGGAGAAGCCTGCTCCTGAAGGACTGCACCCATGGGAAGGACTCATGTTGGAGAAGTTTGTGGACTGTCTCCAGTGGGAAGAACTCCATGCTGGGACAGGAGAAGAGTGTGAGGAGTCCTCGCTCTGAGGAGGGAGGAGTGGCAGAGATGTCTAATGAACTGACCATGACCACCATTCCCCATCCCCCTGTGCTGCTGAGGGGGAGAAGGTGTAGAGACTGGGAGTAAACTTAAGCCTAGGAAGAAAGGAGGGCAAGGAGGAAGGTGTTCTTAATTCAGATTTACTTTTTCTCATTATCCTACTCTGATTTGTTTGGTGATAAATTAATTTCCCCAAGTTGAGTCTGTTTTGCCTGTGATAATAATTGCTGACTGATCTCTCTCTGTCCTTATCTTGACCCACAAACCTTTTATTATATTTACTCTCCCCTGTCTAGCTGAGGAGGGGAGTGATAGAACAGCTTTAGGTGGGTACCTGGTGTCCAGCCAGAGTCAACCCGCCCCACTTAGCAACACATAAAACATGCAAACATTAAGGAATATTATTTTCCTAACGTGTAAAATGGAGCTAGGTTGTACTTGGGAATTCCTTCATACTATGTGAAGAGAGTTCAAGCACACTGTAGTTATGAACACAGAAACTAAGTTTTAGAGGCAGTCATCAAGTTCTGGCAACAAGCCCAGCTTATTGTCAGGAACATGCTCTGCATGACATGTGCTTGAGGAGGAGGAGGAGGCATGTTTTGCTTCTTGTTTGCTTTTAAGGAGCATCCTCAATAATCTTCATGAAATACAGTGTGATACTCTCCATTCCTGTTGTGAAATGTTACGTAGAGAATATTCTCAGATTCTCTTAAAGAATTTGATTACTTAAATTGTCATTTTTTGTCTCTAATGTAAGATGTGGTAAAGTAAGTGTGTGAATTTCCATTCTTTACAAAGTTCGAAATAGTTCTAAATAACTTTCTTATTTTGTTCCCACAGAAGTCACTTGTTTGAAGACAGAAGTGTACAAAACAGCAGCATTTCTGATTTTGTCTTTGGAGAAAACATGGTTGACAGAGTTTTGGTAAGATCTGCAAATGCCGGCAGACTTTTTCAAGTTTAATGTACTTACAAGTATTTTTTTTTTCAGAGATTGGTTCTTTTTAGCTGCTCCTGTTCTTTTAAAGATGTGAGAAAATATGACTCCAATGACTGTTGAGGAGAAAATACCTAAATTTTTGCTGTAGTAGGGCAGTCTTCTCTATCTTCCCCATCCTAGATAAGTACTCCATTTACTAGCCCATACCAGTAGGCACTTTTTATCTTTTGCTCATTTTTTATCCTAAAAAAAAAAGTTGTTTATATATTCCATGCAAAGTGGCACAGCCAGAAGACAGCATGAAAGCATGTCATCCCACCATTCTGATAGTTTCCATCTGTTAAGAGATGGGAAAAATTAGTATAGGGGCAAAATTGAACACCCATCCTATATAGTGTCTGTGTTAAACTATACTGTGCATGCTGTGAGATGGCCTAAGGGATCATGGCTTGAAGGAAACTCAGAGAAAAAGGTGGCTCCCAAGCTGAGGACAGCACCATTTAAAATGGAATTGAAATTCAGCTTCTAGCAGAAGCAGGATTAAAGTAGTATGCATAGCTGCCAGTGAAAACACTTGGCAACCGTAGATTGGGGTTGTAACTTATGAGAAGGATTTAGTTATAGGGTAGGAGTTGAGCCATTACACATTTTCAGGAGCCAGAAGTATTATTTAGGCAGGCCTAAGAAATGTTGATCTGCAAAAACTTAAGATGATGGAAATTTCTAATTCCTCCGAGGTTGTTTGTTGTGTCTGGGCATTTTAAACTATTCTTCTGGGGCTTAAGTGCTTAAACTGGAAATCAACTGGTACTTTAATATGTAAGTCTTTCGGTGGGTTTAAATCCTGATCCAAGATCCTTACAAAGAGGCCATTCTTATTGGTAAAAGAATGATGTACTTATTTTATGATAATAAAATCAGTTCCACTAAGGACTGAAACAGTATCATCTGCATCAGTTTTTACTCTTAAGATCCTACAAATGCTAACCTTCAGCCTGGCGTGCATTAAGTGATTCAGTGTTCTGTTTAAGTAATGGCACCGTTTTATTAAAATAGGAATTCTTATTTCCCCTGTTTTTCACTAGAGTACTGAAAAGCAGCCCAAGCCATGTAATGAAGCTGATTCATACAAAGGAGAAATAACTTCCACCAACATCGGATCTTTTCATGTCAGTCCACAAACAAGTAAGTATACTCAGCACACAACTACAGTTAGCTTTCTTATTATATGCTTTGCTGTATCTTAAAGAATGTCAAATGAGTTTAGATAGGATATCAGGAAGCACTTCCTCACGGTGGTCTGATATTGGGATGCACTGCCCAGAGAAGTGGTGGAGTCACCGTCCCTGGAGGTGTTTAAGGAGAGGCTGGATGTGGCACTTAGTGCCATAGTCTGGCCCATGTGATGGTGTTGGGTCACAGGCTGGACTTGATGATCTCAGAGGTCTTTTCCAGCCTCAGTAATTCTGTAATTCTATGGTCAATAATTTTCATCTGTTCTCAAGTTATCCAGTCACTAGTACACTTGCAAGTGTGTGCTAATATGTGTTCAGAAAGCACCTACAGTTTGGTTTATGACATTTGAACTGGACTAACTTCAGAATCAATGATCTAAGTTACTTAGAAAAGGAGAGAGTTTTACAGATTATTGTTTATATTTATTACAGGTTATTATTGAATTATGTATTTGAAAAAAAGTAGAGTGAACTTTGTGAATGCCTTTAGGACTGTGTTTTTGAACTACAATTTTAAGTTGTCTCCTGCTTGTGTTTTGTGACTGCTCATATAAATTACTTTGTCGTATTTGTATCCTAATTGTAGACCTGAAATTTCTATACAGACAGAATTCAGGGATTGTTTGTGACTCTGATGTGAGTGTTTTTACTAGGCAAGCCACATAAATCTAGGCTGTGAGGGAATCCCAAGTAGGCCCCTATCTTGAGCCCTCTTTCCAAATTTTGCATGCCACTTTATTAGTGATTGATGGATATACTGGGTCCTATTACTTTGTATGAACATTCTTACAAGTAAAGAAAAAAAAGGAAATAAAGCCTGTAGGAAACATATATAGATTATGCAAATATACAAAATTCTGTAACCGTGTTATTTCTTTCAAATCTTATCCTTTCATGTTCCTGTAAAATTTTTATTGTATACGTGTTACCATTCATGTGTCTTTCATTATTAATCTGCACAACAATATGACAGACAAGTTTCATTTGGAAAATCAACCTCCAATTATTTAGGGCTTGTTTCTGGGAGTTGTCCCTTGGGGCAAACCTCTGCAAATGCAGAGAGCACTGTTGAATTCAAAATGAGCCTAAACCAGTGAGACACTTTGCTGTAGTCCAGACTTTTTCTTCTTCTCTTCTATTGGCCAAAATTTAGGAATAACACTAAATAGTTACAGAAATTACTGAAGTCACAGTCTATCCTATATGCAAGTTTCTTGGCATGAAAATATTCCTGTTTTTTTTTCTCCACAGAAACAGCTTTGTTGAGGAATGTAACACTAATTGAATCAGCAACTGCTTGTATTTCCAAGCCAGTGGATAAAATTCTGTTAGATAAAGTTGAAGTTGTAACTGGAGAAGAAGCAGAACACAATGTATTACAGGTGTGTATTTCATAAAACCTTCATAGTGAGCAGTTTTGTTATTGAAAAGAACAACTAGATCTAAACTAGATTGCAGCAATCTGAAAATAACACAGTTTGTATTTTATTTTTTCACTTTTTTAAAGATATGCCTCTGCTCACCCATTTTTGTAGGCTATTTTCTTTTTCATATTGTATTTGTTCATTGTATAGTCCCTTTCAGTAAGTGACTGCTTCAGAACTTCATTCTGCACCTGTAATTTATAAGCATCTACATGGTGTACCAGCCATAACTGATATACTGTAAAACTTCAAAATTGGAAGTGATTTGAATAAATATTCTTTTATCACAGAACTTTTTTTGGAAAAAATCAATATGTTGTCAAAGCAATTAGTCTTATAGTTCATGTAAAATATCAATTCTCTTTCTGGCCTAGCAGAACATATCTTGCTATTCTTCATCTTCAAACTGTTATTTTATTAGAAAATAGCAATGATATATATGATTTAAAAAATCTTAACATTGAAAGTTACATTATTAGATCACTGATTAAATAGTTTGTCTTGTCGCAACATGGAAGGTTTGCTCTCTTTGGAGCAGTAACCTTCTAGTAGTAGTACATGTTTCTAATGAGCGAGCGAGTAAGGTTGTAGAACACTTACATTAACACAGCTGAATTTGTTGCATCACAGATGAAGAGTTAATGAAGATGAAATAATTGAAAAAGTGAACTGGGGTTCAAGCTGAATGTTTTTCACTAGTAGCAAGTTTAGCACAGCTCTGGAAGCCATTTCATTTAAAGTAATAGTAGTGATATATCTATATATCTGTCTTTGTTTACATGGATGTATTAAAAGCAATATCGGAAGGTTTACAAACATTAAATTTTAGAACCAGTAAAATTAACATTGGCTGGCCATTTCCATCATGTATTTCTCTTTTAGATCAACTGCAAGCTCTTTGTATTTAATAAGCTTTCTTTAACTTGGATTGAAAGAGGCAGAGGATCCCTGAGGCTTAATGACACTTCTAGCAATAAACATGGAATGTTGCAGTCAAGGCTAAGTAAGATTTAAAAACAGTAACATGTATACAAAACACTAAATAACTTGTACTGCTGCTGGCCAGAATAAGCTTATTTCAGAACTTTTAAAACTGAGTAGGTAGTTTTATTTAAGTCAAGTTGCTGAGAATCTTTTAGCATTGCCTGATAATGTTAGCTGTGTTACAGACTGAGGCACTGGGCATTTTTCACTCAGTTTGTACACTCACATTTCCATGTGTTGTTAGGTTCTGTGTTTTTCTACTGCAACATATCTTTAGCTTAGTCACCATTCTGATAGTCTGTTCTTCTTCAATTCTGATTTTCGAGAAGCAAGTCACTTCTGGAATGTTGTTTTTACTATGCTGTCATTTTTTTTGTACGGTGTTTCACAGTTTCAACAGATTATTTGCTTCGTGTTCCAGAAGTATTGAAAGAAACAAATATAGTTTGGTAATAATTAACAAAATATCACACCATGTCAGGTTTTAGACCAAATTAAAAAGAATAATTTGTGACAATATTGGGTGTATATAAGTGCTAGAGAAAACTGCTGCAGTAAAAATTAAGATGGTTCCAATAACTTATCATATAAACCTTCATATTTTAGTTATGCGAAATCAAGGCAGCTTGAGACTGATTCTCAACACTCGACTCTGGGATCAAATGGTTGTAAAAAGAGCAAACAGAAAGAGCCTGTGCTTCACTGCAACAGACCAAGAGGATCACTCTGTTCAAATATTTCTAATTCAGGTAAGCAAGAGATAAAAACCCCACTCAAATCCCCATTTTATGTAGGATTCTGAAAACTGGATGAAAACTGGATGAGGCTTTGGTTTTAGCAAATGGCCTTTTATGTTCTGTCAGTCTATGCTTAGCTTAGCTGTTATGTATTATGTGGCTTTTTTCATTAAACGACTTTGGAGAGCTATCCCTTGATATTTCAAAAACTGGTGTGAAGATGGGATATGGCCTTAGTCCAGACATTGCAGGCTCTGGTTCACACACTGCTGATGGAATGGATGTAATTCCAATTATATGCAGTAATTGCTCTTTCTTATGGAAGCAACACTGTAAGAATTTCTACACAGGTAGATAGATATTCATAAATTACTTCAGTACAAAGCAGTAGCTTTCTGCCATGGTTCTCAACACAGTAGTTGCAATCATCTATCCAGTGTAGAAACTCTGTTTCTCAGTTGAGGATAATAGAGATTTTGCGATCTCATCTTCTGCAAGACAGCAGTCTTGGGAACCCTGGTTTTCTCTAGCAATGGCTGATAAGGTTGGAAATGTGGTGGACTTCTTTGCAAATGAATAGCAAATACGTGCTAGGCTGGGAAGTGAAAGCATCCATGTGAGTTAGAGGATGTTTCCAGTTTCCCCAGCACACCTTTCTGGGAAGGGTTCATCTTCCACCATATAACACCACTTGCAGCAACTGTCACATGTCGTACACAAGCACAGCACCATGCACTGTGTATGCACACACTGTAAGTCTCACTTCCAAACAGTGGCTGACTTAACAATGGCTGTGCTGCACAGATGGTCTGCATGCAGGAATCAGAAATCTCCTAGATTTCCTGTGTGCTGCACAGTTTTTCTAGTGTGTAAACACTCCTTAAGATCTGTCCTGGCACTTCTGCACAGTTAAAAAAAAAGACATTTATCAGGAAACCAAGATACATACACAACTGTATGTGTGTGGCAAGGATTTCACAAAGCAGTTCTGACAGTGCCCAAATGCAGTGTCCCCACTGTCTCCTGAGGCAGCAAATTCTAGAAGTTCTTACTCACTCTCTGAAGAAGCACGTTCTTTTATGCTGGTCCTCTACTGCTTTCATCAGGCGTACCCTTGTGCATTTACTGTGTGGCCTGATGATCAGCTGTGCAGTATTCAGTTTATCCAGGCACTTTCATAATTTAAAAAACCTAGTTATACCCCCTTCTCATCAGACTGAATAGTCTCAACTCTTCATAAGGAGCTGCGCCACACCCTTCATAATTTTTGGTATCCTTCTGTTTATCTTCTTTTATTGTACTATATCCTTGAAATGTGGTGACCAGAATGGAACACAGTACTCAGAATGTGGCTACCCAAGAGGTTTTATGTACTGGCAAAACGCTGCCTTGTCTCGTTCTCAATACCCTTCTTGAGGAGGCTCATCTGCTTAGCAGCACAGTTCATGGTATCTTTAAATATTATATTCACAAATAATTTTTAGTAGTAAGTTTTTAAAATTCTTATTTATTCTGCAAACTAAAATGCAATACATATATTAACATTTTGATCTTCTTACTTCTAGAGTCATATTCATGAATTGTCTCGAATATCAAGTACTCAGTAAAAACTGAGCCAGTCTTCCGAGGAAATAGTAATTTTAAAGCTTCTATTTCTTGTAACTATAAAGAAAATAATCAACAGCTGCATATTATAAAACTGAGACCACTTAAACGAACTTGGCATTATTTGTATTTAAGTTTATTTTCTGAAATGAGTGTGAATCTTAAATGGATTGCTTTGACTAAAAAGGACAAAATACAGCTCTGTCATTACTTCTGAAAATTTCTCAGTCAGCCTTTCTGTGAAAAATAGAGATTTTTCTCTGTCAGTTCGGACTGTATGCATTTTATGTTCTGCAGGCAAGCTCAAAAGACACTGGGTACCTTTATGCAGCAATACATCACCGCCTTGTGGCATTGCGAAGCTTTGCTGAGCAAGAGCCAGAAGCTAATCAAGTAGACGCAGACTCAGAAATACCTTTTCAGCCATTAAACTGTGATAGTGATGATGAAGATGATGAAAAGCTAACTCAGCTGAGCAGCAGTAGATCTGGTAAGCAGAAGTTTTCCTGGGAATACTGTCATCCTTTCAGGGTATTTTCCTGTAAACAATGAAAATTTTACTTTTTTTTTTTCCCCCCCATGCTGACTATAACTTTCATCTGTTACAGACACCCCTTTAAAGGTAGAAGAAGTTAATTCCTTTTAGTATTTTGACTTACTACTTTTAAATGCAAGGTTTTGCCAGGTCAGTTATCTACACATTCTTATAGCAGTGGAATACTCTTTTGACAGAAGAAAGAAATTTTAATATTGTCAAGCTTTGCCTAAACGTTTCTTGAGCATATTTCAGTGGAAATGACTAAAGGTATTGAGATACTAGTTGTTCCTCGAGTAAATGAAAGTTGAGTGCATTCACATGAGTGCTTAGGTAGTTACTAATGTCTTAAAACATAATGTGTTTACTAAGATATTTAGTCTGCAGTGGTTAATTTAAAATATTGATTCTTTATTAGCTGTTACAACTACCTCACTGGCAAACTCACAGGTCAAGATTTACATACCAGTTTTGCCAGCTTTCTTCAATGTAACAAAAATGTAGGCTCTCAAAGGAAAAAATGCAACTAAAAGCTCTTCTCTCTTAGCAAAAGACAAGTCACGTTTCTGGGGCAAATTAACTTGCTTGTGCTGAACTACTACAGTGGATACAGGGTCTGCCAGTGATCTGTTTTCAAATAGAAGAAGGGCTACAGCAGGTCTGAGATGTAGCTCATAGCATCAGTTTCTCTCTGCAGCTAAATAACACATTGCCCTCATGTTATAAATTCTTCCTTTTAACAAATGTTCAACAAAAATCAAGTCTAGTTCCTTAAGAATAAGTTGCTGTACCTGATACTTTCATCCAGATCATATTTTACCAGTTATGGTTTAAGGTATTTTACCAACAAATTGGTCTGTAAATCTAAGCGGAGAGAAACTGAACAATTAATCTTTAAACAGATTTTGAGAGCGGATAGGAACACTAACTCTCTAAGAAATATTCATCTTTTTCCACTGACTAGATTGAAACGAGGAAAAGAATTTACACTAGACAGCAAACTTCTAGGCTGACCGAAGTCAAGAAAATCTCTTCTTCCATTTCTTTTATTGCTAATTCATTTCTCTACTAAATATTGTAACTATGTTTGGCCTCCAGTTGTTTTTGTAATAACTAGCTGAGGACAGATCAGCAGAATTCTTTATTACACATATGAAAATTTTTCTCACTAAATAATGTAACAAATAAAACAATGAAAAATGCTGATATGACAATGTGTGAATGATTGGACCCAGAGTGCTCCCCTCTGAGGGAAATGCCACTGGCCTCAGTTGCATGACTCCCCTTTTGTTTTTCCTCTACTTGGACTAGGAACTTAACATTCTTTGCTGTGTGGTAGATCTACTTCAACAAACAGAACAGCGAATTGTGCTTAGCCAAGGATACAGAATAGCCTAGTCAGGGAGCTCGATCTGACCTTTGTGGATAAAGACCTAGTGCCCTATAGGTCTGTGTCTGGGGCGTGTTGTGCCACGGGTAACATAATGTCGAACTGTTACCACTACCTCCACCTTTGCCGACAGCAATTGGGCGCTTTACAATATGTTGGCAGACTGATGTATCTATGCAAAGTCTTCTGACTCCTGTTCTTAAGCATCTTGACTACAGGCAGTTAAAAAATTAACACGTTACTACTGAGTTGCACTGCTAACTGCTAATATGAATAAATTCCATATGTAGCTGTTAGATAAACAGTTCTCTAACATAGACACTGTACAACTCTTGCAGGGTGCCCATCTCTTTGAACTGGCAACACAAACAAAGGAGGTACCTATGCAGACTCAAAAAATCATCCTGCCAGAACATGGATCTGTTAGAGCACCAACACCTAAGCTTGACATTGGTAGCAGGTGGTCAGATGTCACTTTTTAGGCCCATATGTTACTAAGATGACTCTGAAAATGCTAGTCCTTGCTTCTGACACTTCTAAGAGATCTTTTGATGTTTTTGTCATAGCCATAAGGAGATTATGTCCTTGTTCCAAAGGAATGTATTTTGTTTACATTTAGAAATAGGTCCATCCTGGTCATCAAAAATAGTGGAAGGTCCTTAAAGTGTTGTGAACCCGTTAGTCTTTAGAAATAACTATTTCTTGAGAGACAATAAGCCATTTCTTTCACAGGGGAATATGAAATATCAGTCATAGTAACAGAATAGCATAGGGCTATGGGTAGGATGTTTTCCATGATTTCCATCCTTTTCCCATTTTTGATTGTGAAGGACTTTTTGTTTGCATCCCTGTGGGGAAACAGAAAAGCTGGAAAAGTACATGTGAGGGACATGGATAACAGTGTTACCAGGCAAAGAAATGTTTTATGCATTATTTATTGTACTGCATCTCACCAATGACTCTCTAAATCTTCCCTAATTTCATCCTTTTTGATGGATCCTTTTTTGAACGAGGTGTCCTCTCTTCTCTGACATGGAATTTTCTTTTAGAAGCTATTAGGGTGAATTCAAAGGTGTGTAGGCCTAGGTAAGTCCCAAGAAGTCTCTCCATATGTAGCCGCAGACGTGAGAAAACTATAGTGTGCGAAGATAGAGTGTGTCCCCTGTGGTTCCACCAAAAATTGCATGGATTTTGGATATGATCGGTGTTATGGGCCAGACAATATGGCAGCACAGAAGTGCAAGCTTCGTTTTATTTCACAGATGTTTTCTAGTCCCCTAAACACACACCTGTTACGTTGGTCTCATTAGGACTCTCTCATCTGCTGGTGTTTATTCAGATCTGAAATGATACAAGAGCTTTTTTATTTTTAAGTACTTTTCAAGTTCTTTTAAATTTCTTAAAGGAACTACTGTTCAGCAGTACCACAGGAACTCCTGAAAAACTATCTTTGTTTGATGTTTCTTGTCAATATATTTTAAATTCTTACTAGTTTAAATTCTTACTTATCATAAATCTAACACACACATACCGGATAGTAATTAAAACTGAGCAAAAGTTAAGAATTAACTTCTTTGTTGGAGTCAAAGTTTATGTATTCTTTCCAGAAGTTACCAATAACAACCAAAGCAGAGAAGAAAAGACAACTTTTGGCTTTAAAATGCTGACAAACCAGGAAAGAGAGAGGGAAAAAATCAGGTTTAATATTCTGAAATGCAAGGCCTTTCATTTCACCTGTAGGAAGTTTAAAACTTTTAAGTAGGTATTTAATGGTGGTCAGATGGTAGCAGCAATTTTTAAACGGATACTGAGAGAGTGATTATTATGTGTCTGACATCAGTCAGCTATATCTGCTTTCTGCAGATGAGTCAATGTCACAGCCAAAACCACCACTAGGTACTTTTATCACGACCAGTGAGTTTTTTAAAGATATATTGGATTTCTCACAGTTTACTGAGTTTCTGTTATGAAGTGTTATGACAGTGTTCCCTTTACAGAGCAAGATGATTTGCATCCCAGACACAGTGTCCTAGACATCCGAATCCCTAGTACTTATGTACTTGTCTTTATTGACATGAGGGGTCACAGGCTTCATTCACTATTCACATGCTCAAATATTTGTGAATAATCCTGTGTTATCCAGTTAGATGTTTACCTAAACCAGGAACCGATCATACCCAAACTTTAACCTACTGCTTTGGTATTATGAAATGCTGGATTGTTTCAAAAGATCAATATGCCTAAATAAGCAAGATTTTTTTACATTCTTTTTCAGATCATTCTAGATGGAAGAGCAGTCAGTCTGTAGTCTGCTCATGACACCTCCCAGAGGTTAAAACAGCAAGGCTGGAAACTCATCTTCCCAAAGTGTCTAAGCTGACTCATTAGTCCCTGGAGGGAGGAAATCAGATGCGTTTTGCATTATGACTTTTAAGTAAAGATTAATTTTAGGGATAGCATAAGTTTAACACATTAAAAAAAAACTTGAGATGCACTTTTGAGGATTCCAGTCGGTCTGCTTTACACTGAGATGGGAATGGCACAATGGCTTCCAATATTCAATGCATGTTACAGTTTTAGAATTAAATATATTTAGATGCATTATTAAAGTAAGGAATTTTATAGGGAATAAATATTATGCATCACATTGATGCATAAAACCACATAACCGTGAATTAATAATATAAATGAAGAGATATTTGTTACTTTTATCTGTTATTTAAAAGATACACCTTTGGAAAGCTTTAAATTAGGCTTCACTGACATTTACTTAAAATTAACATTAACATTCAGCATCCTGTTCATAAGGACATACAAGCAGAATTGGGAGTGGCAGGGTATCATCAAGGCCTATAGAAATTAGCCTTCATAATAAGTTGGGGTTTTAGTCTTGTTTTGAAAATATCTGGAGTTGTATACTGGATGTAGAACTTTGTTAAAGAGTAGAGAACCATGATTTCCTTTACAACTGTAAGCACCAGAAGAATTCACCATGAAGAACTACAAGCCAGTTCCAGAGGGCATATGAGCTTTAAAATGTAAAAGTATATCTTCTTGCACTTATGAACACCCTTTCAATTGCACAAAACAAGCACCTGCACTGTTAATTGTCCATTTCATATATGCAAATAAATGCAGTATAACTGGACACCTGCATTAAAATTTCCCTTAAATTTGTGAGATTATCTGAGATTACTTCTCCCTTAGCTGTAGCTATCACTAAACAGCATTACTCCTTGAAATATCATAGAATGTATTGAGTTGGAAGGGACCTTTAAAGGTCATCTAGTCCAGCACCCCCAAATAGATGAGTATGTTACACATCTTAACGTGTGCAATAATCGTACCAGTGCCAAAGGCCCAGTAAGTCTGTAAAAGTGAATCCACAAACTACTGCATTCTACCTATTCTCATGAGGAATTAGCAAAGTAAGTTCTCTCTAATGCCACCTGTGAATTAAGGCCGACTGGATCATTATTAAAGCCATGCACAGTACAGACACTGCTTATGGTCTTTGTTTTCTAATCTTGCTGTCAAAAGATAAAAATGTCTGTAATCATTCTCC